AGTACAGATAAGTTTTTACAATAAAATTCTTTATACTTAGCTTATTTATAGTATATTCTTTATGACTAAAAAAAATAATTTTAGATTCTAATTTCAGATTTAGCGATTTATTCATTCATGAATTATTTAGTATGAGCCAAGAACCGATCGATCTACTGGCAATCATGAATGATTAGTGTAGAGAAGGGATATACACTTTATAGATTTTTATTTCACTTCGACACTGCCAATTTATAAGAAAAAAAATATTAATATAAAAATACATCTCTCAATTGTGATTCTGCCTTCTCGCAATTCTTGCTTGAAGCCAGATATAGTTAGTTAACAGATTTTTAGTTTCTGAAACAGTTAACCATATATCTTTTTTTGAGCTTGTGAGAAAAAAGGGGAGGGCCCAGCGAAAATTCTCTAAACAAGTGCTCACTATCTGACCCTCTTTCTGGTATTTATTTTCAAATTTCAGCTAACATTGCATCAATTTTAGCTAACATTGAATCCATTTCTATTGTTTGAGATGACAAAGAAGCCTGTATTTGAGGTTTTGAACTGTCACTTGTCTCTGGTTCGGAGTCAGACTCTTTTGATTCTGTATCGCCTATAGCGTAATTATCACCTGCATCAAGATGGTCTGATTCTTGCCTTATTGTGATTCTCGAAAGCAGTTTAAGATGTTGGGTGTTGGTTTCTTACCACCATGGATTCTGGAAGCGTGTTTACTTCCATAATCTCTTAATTTTTTAGATATGGTTCTATAAGGTTTTTGTTTTAAGAACTTGTTAAATGGCCAAGCGTTACGTGTTCCATTTCTAATAAAGACAGGGTCAGATAACTTTTTAACCTTAATTGCATCTTGAATCCAAGTAAGCAATTCTCTTGCGCATTCCGGGTTCTTCTCCATAGAAAGAAATAGTTGGGGCTCGAGATTCTTTTTCTTTTCTCCTCTACTTTTTAAATAGCCCGTACAGTACCAAGAATAACCTTCTTTATACCATACTGGAGCATTCAAAGGATCTGGTTCATAGTGAAAAATTTGAAGAGATCTTACTTCTGCAGGTCTCATACTCAACATCACAATTACATCCGCGAGATCTTCTTTAGATGGAATTTTAGAAACATCCATATTCTGAATCCTTTTAAGCACTCTTGCTGACGAGAAGTGTATTGGAATTCTATCCGGATTAGCCATTCGTTTTTTAGTTTGTTTTTCTGAATTTTATTAGACTCTTGAATAAGTTTGGATCTTTGGCATAGGTATTAATAATTTCAGGACTTACTCCGCCTTCTGCTAATTTCACACGAAATTGTGACTAGCATGAACCACTGGTGACTATTTCATTTTCATAATCATTTTTTGGGCCTAAATCTAAATGATGGGTGAAAATGTTCATAGCATCGCCGATTTTAGCACAATATTTTGCCCTTTCCTCTATGGTGAGTTTTTCTTTTCTCTTATTTGGTAAGAGAGCCTCTATCCGCTCTTCACTAAATGAGCGTCTGTTATCAGTACCTCTGGCAAGAGCGACTTTAACACACCTGCGAGCCATCCAATCAGGAAGTAATACATCAAGTTTGGGAGCATATTTGTTTAATTGTTCTGGGGTAGAGTTGGTTCTCAGATTATGCTTTTCTAGAAACTGCTCTAAGACCAATACAAAGTTATTAACTGTCGCGGATGATGGTGAAATTGGATGATCGTGAAATCTGGGGGCCTTAATTTAAAAATATAAACCTTACTAAAACCCACCTATACTCTTTTATTATAAACTCTAACCCTAAATCCTAATTGAAATCTAAAAAAAAGTATAAAAAAATATACACTAAAAATTTTAAAAATCGTATATTAAATAGGTTTGATTTCACGATCATCCGATTTCACCATCATCCGTGACATTAACTTTAGGTTTTCGGGTCTTTGGGGAAGCTGTTTTAGTAGCCATGTCAGTAGTGAGTGTTATCTAGTTATATTAATCTAGTTATTTTTTAATTCGAAAAAAATAATTAATAATTTGGAATTTTATTTTGCCTAATTATAAAGAACCCTCTTATCCAAATACCTCACTTGTAAACTGGCTTCTTATTCACTTTTTACCAAAGCATACCATTCTCCTGAAGTATGCTTATTTTTTTTTGCCACTCCTCATCGGTATCGAGCCAGGAGGATGTGGTCCCCTTATCTTCAAGATCACAATGGATTATTTCTTCTTCTGTCAATCTTTCCCACACTGACATATCCATATATTCTTTAGGGTCTTCTTCCCCCTCTTTTGCATAACCGCACATCCAAGCGTCAGTTTCCATTCTATCCCGGAATGCAATGGAGTTGAGCCTGTTCTTTTCTGTAATAGTTACAAATATATCGGGATTCTCACCAAGTTCGATTGCCCTTTTTCTGAGGCACTCTTCGCACTGGGCCCTGCTCAGAAGTATGGCAGATAGTACTTCATTGATAGGGTTGGAAGAATCAGTTTCTTTAGAAGGCGCATTTATCACTTTACTGATAGGCTTGATAGATTCAGGAAGCTTGCTAGTTTCGAGCCGGCCCTTTTGAGACCGCTTATTGATTTCTGGCTCAGGTAGGTTAGACGTCTTAGAAGTTTTGGAAGTCCCAGATGTTAAAGCAACTAGTGCTTTAGTTTCTTCTACCAGATAGTTAAATAGAGCTTGGGTTACGTTGTTCTGTTTATTTACTTTTTTATCACTAGATGAAAGAATCTTTTCTGGTCGAGATGAAGCTGTTTTTGAAGAAGCATTTTCCGGCACATTAAATATTGGTATATCTGTTGTCTCATTTTCAGGTATGTCAGATTGAGGTATGTTAGAGAATTCTTTGATATCATCTACTGTTTCACGTATTTTAGCTACGATTTTGGGGCAGTCAAGAATATATACCTGTTTCCTTTTTCCACTACTTGCTCGTACTTGTTTGCCCTCAATACCAATATCCAAAAATTTCTTCTCAGTAATATTATTAGAAAATGGCTTTTCATCATTATTCCCACACCATTCAAGATACTTCTAATATAATGATGTACGACTTGGGCTGGCTACTTTATCCTCACCCCAAGATGCAATATAGTCAATTATAAATCGAACAGAATTAGGAAGCTGGTCTCGCATTGTTTCTGTATTCATTTTGGTTGAAGGAATTTTATGTGACTTCCATCCTGAAAGATTAAGATTAAGCAAATATGCTATAAATGATCCTGGTGTGTCAGGGTGCTCAAGAATTCCTCCTAACTGA